TTTCATTTGAGCATTTCTCATCATATATAATACACTTTGAAGCCGGTTCAATTTTTATCCCTAACCATGTAAAATCCATTGATAAATAATTTACACTATATGACCAATGGTTCTTTGATTTTATGTTGTTGTTTCAGACTAGCCATATACAGTGCTATTTTTCTCTTTGGTGTGTATACACAGATGGTTCACCAAACAACACATACAAGTGCTGTTGGATAAAAGTGACTCACCTGATTTTTTTTACTAAATGTTCTCTTCTCCGATGAAGCGAAAGTTGAGCTAAATTCAAAGGATAAGCGATCTAAAATCCGAAGAAGAAGCTTTGAAAGCTCTTTGAATTTAGCAGTAAGTACTGTCAAGCATCCGTTCAGTATAATGTTATTTTCATGGAACTGGTTTCTTCAAACCTATTGAAAAGGCCCTCAGGAGCGAGCAGTACAAGAGAATTTTAGAGTCTTGTCTGCTCCCTTCTGCTGAAAGGGTGCAAATCGGCCCTACCTAACTCATTTTTATGCAGGATAATGTTCCCTGTCACAAATCAAAATTGATGAAGGAATACTTTGATGAGAAGCAGGTGAGTGTTATGACATGGCCGCCCCAATATCCTGACCTCAACCTCATAGAAAACTTATGGGGCATTATAAAGTACAGGCTCTCGAGAAAGCAGTTGAGCAACAAAGAGGATTTGATTGTGAATTTCATATCCGAATGGAATTCAATGCTTGGAGATGATATTTGCCAGAACCTAATCAAGTCAATGCCAAAAAGGGTTGAAAAGTTTATTCAAAATAAATGAGGACCCATAGATTATTAAATATTTCGAACTATATTACCTTTTATAAATAAATTATACCTCTATTATTCTTTATTTAAAGCTGTTCGGTTATGTTTCTATTGATTACTAGTTGCAGGAAATAAGTCACTTTTTTTGCACAGAGTTTTTCCCTAAATCTCATTTATATCCAAAATTATAATTATCAATAGAATAACTTAGGGTGAGTAAACTTTGTTACTAGGTGTTTGGGAAGGGGTCTTTATATTAGTAAGATTAAAAATTAGTTTGATCCCAAAAACAATAGGCGAAAAATTTTTAAGTAAAAAAATCAGGTGAGTCACTTTTATCGAACAGCTCTGTATGTTCGCAATAGATATTACCGTATCAAACACATTTGGGATTTTGATATTCTCACTGTTTCATTCAAATATCTTAATGCTTAATTGTTTTTATTCTTGAAAAAAATACTTATACCTTTGAAGGCGTTAAAAGGAACGTTGTGCGTAAATGTTTATTTTGTTAGGAATGAATAAACAGGAACGAACAAGTTATAGCGGCAACAGACTCGTAGCGGGTCCACCGGAAGTGATGCGATGGCAGTTAATATTAGAAAAAAGAAACTTTTCTGCGAGTTAAAGAATAAATAAATTTTTATGAATAACGTTATATTCAGAAGTCGTAATAGAAAAGGAAGAGACGAACAAGGAATCCGTCAAATAAAAACAATTATAAAATATCTTTGGTAGTAAACAAACAACCGGGATTTGAATAAGTTATTTACAGGTTCAGTTCAGTTCATGTAATTTGTATGACCAACTAATTTAGAATTATTAGTCTTGATATACCTGCGGTTATTAGAGCAACAAAGGCGTTAAGGTAATTAACAACGTGGGATTGATAAAGATTCAAGAAAGATCAACAAGTAACATAACTTTTCCCTTGTTTACTCAGACATCACACCCACCCCAGTACCTACTAAATCCTCAAGTATAACAGGAGTTTTGATTTCACTGAGTCGACTCATGAAAACACCAAAACAACAAACAAACAAAAATGCTATTATTTAGTAAATGGCTAATATTGTGAAAGTTTTGGCTTTGATTTTTTTAAAAATCGAACTATTTTTTTTAAAGGGCTTTGTTTGCTTCCATCTGTATTGCAACTTGAATTTAAAATCTCACGGAACACTTACCTAATTTCAACGATACACTAAGGTGTCTCGACGTCCCGACTAAAAAGCACTGAGTTAATCTTTCAGGAGGTTCCAGTAGTGGCACTCTTTTCAAGAGCAAAGAACTCGAGAAACTTGAAAAAACGTGTATGCCAAAAATAGCACCGCAAAAGTTAATCAGTATATATATATATATATATATATATATATATATATATATAATTATTTATTTAAAATATTTAGGCTCTACTTTTGTATCGAGCACTGTTTTTTTAAAAATTATAACAAAAATACTAAAGAACTTTGGATTATTTACCTAACGAGGTCTTTCCTATTTTCTATATATTTTCACACACACACACACACACACACACACACACACACACACACACATATATATATATATATATGAGAGGAAATGGTATGGAAAAAATTTAGTTGTGACACCATCGAATTCAATTTGTTATATTGGTACGACTACACATCCTCACGAACGAGGAGTGCTGGGAATCTTAGATATTTTAAAAAAATATCTAGCCGAATTCATTTCGGTACTTTTTCGTATCATTTCCATCACTTTTGTTAGTATCCCACACCGTGATATTAGGAAATCTGCCAGGAATGGCCAAATGTAGTAAGAGTTAGGGTGCAAATTTACTGTGGATGACTTTGTGATCAAGGCACTCTGTAGACATTTACGCCGTAGTGAATTATTTTCTCCTTTGATCAGAGTAACATTTTTATGTCAAAGTTGTGGTCAGTCTCGTTACAGTGGGCAACCGACATATTTGACATATTGTTTTGTGAAATGTCTTTTTTGTGTTCATATAATCTTTTACTTAGATTTGTTGAGGTTTCTCCTATAGATTTTCTATGATAATTATTACAGGTGATGGAGTAAACTCTTCCTTGAGATTTTAGCTTATTGTTTTGTCATGAAGGGTGAAATGCGTCACAAGTAAACTTTTCCACTTTATCATACATTTCCCCAATACTGCTCTTTATATATAAAACATATATGTCGTTATCTCATATAACACACACACACACACACACACACACACACACACACACACACACACATATATATATATATATATATATATTTCAATTAAAGGTGCAAATTATAATTTATAAATTCATGAATCATTCATACAAAAAGCAAATATATTTCTATACCTGAGGATGTCTGTAGGAACAGACGAAAACTTGTACAAATTAAAAGACCTTATGCAACTGGAATTTATGAACAGGGATCATATCATTCATATACAGGTTGTGGGTTGATGTATCTTATTTATATTGTTTGCGAATATGTATTCTCGCCATTTAAATCATTAACCTCTATATTTGTTTTTTGTATGAATGATTCATGAATTTATATATATATATATATATATATATATATATATATATATATATATATATTGGTTGGATAGATGTGAGTTTAGATGTGACCCTGGGTTTCACGCTTTAGCGATCGTCAGACAAACTGATTAATGTTTTAAAAAGTACCGCGCATATAATATATAAAGTAATTATACATATATATATTTATTTATATTTATGTACACTTTTCACACGCACGCACGCACGCACGCACACACACATACATATACTCCGGGTGTAACAGCAAAACTGTCCAAACACACACACACACACACACACACACACACACACACACACACACACACACACACACACACACATACTCCGGGTGTAACAGCAAAACTGTCCAAATTGTGTAACAGCATGGGATAATTGTCCATCCCACAAAATGATTAATATCTAAAATCCCAATAAACTAATTGAGCTTACTTTTTCCAGATTTTCAGATAAGACATTTAGCCATCTTGACACCATTTGTCGTAAGTATCACAGAAAAACCTTTTGAGTTATTCAGCTAGAAAAAGAACAGGTTAAAATCATTTTGTGTCAGCCCATCTATGTCGTTCGAACTGAGCAATGGTGAAAAGAAAAATATCATTCAAGTCTTCAGTATTGGTGCCAACATTCATAAACTGGCTTCCATCTTCAAAGTCCATTCAAGAACCATCAAGAGAACGGTGAATAAGTTTAAAAAAGAGGGAACAGCAGATAGAAAAACTGGATCAGGAGGTCACAACAGCAAGCGGTATCATCATTTCAACTAAATACATTCTCATTCAAAGTAGAGTCTAGTAGTGTTATGAAAACCTCGGAGAATTCCAATAAGATATCTTTAATCATTTCTAAGATACAACGGTTCAAAGCTTAATCTAAAATAGGCCAATTTTTTCTGTTACACCTGGTAAATATATATATATATATATATATATATATATATATATATATATATATATATATATATATATCCAGGTAAGATGAGAACGAATAGAATAGAATTCCAACGATCGTAACATTTAATTTAAAAGACGACTCAATGCAGACTAGAGAAAAATATTTAATTTAGGATATTAAATCAAAAACAGGTATAAAATCGCTACATAATTGCGATCGTGTTTCGACACATATCTATGCGTCTCCTCAGGCGATTGTAAATTACTGGTGAGTCTGTCTCTCTATATATCGAGTATTGGTCAATAGAAAATGTTCAATTCACTTGCCATCAATTCTCGACCACATGTTGCATAAAGTTGGACTAATTGAGCTATATTAGTGAGATGTAAGTCTCTTTCTATAATCTTAACTTTTTCAAGTCAAGGGTTAGCCGTTATATTCCCCACATATCCCCATAAACTGTGACGCTTATTCTGTAACCCTGTAACTTGGGTTAATCTCGAGCCTTTGCCAGGGTGAATATTATTGTAAAAAACATACACTCGTGGGCTTTCACCAACCGGCGATTATTTTTATCAACCACTTTGACAAATTCTTGTAAAGAAATGTCTTTAAAAATGAACAGTCAGAAAAAATTCCTTGGGAGAATTCGTATCCTCCAAAACTTCAGAATTCTCTGTTACTGGAATAAATAAACTTGTCTGGAGTGATAAGTTAGCATTATTCACACGTGGGCTATTGTCATCTTTGTTGTCACAACATCTTGGGGATTACGGCCATATCACGTTGAAATACCGGTTCCCGTATGATCACCGAAGTTAAGCTAAGCCGAGCTTGGTCAGTACCTAGATGAATGACCGCTTGAAAATACCAGGCTTGGATGTACGGGTGGTGTAATGGATAATGGCTCGTAATTGTTAATCGGAGAGCCGAGTTCCAATTTCCGTTGGGTTCATTATATTCACTTACCCGCAAATAACCTTGGAAATGTATGAATCTACCTGTTCTTCCCCAGCTATGGGTTAATTAGTAAGACTTGTATCACTAAACCATTATTATCTCCCCTTCAAAACATTCATACAATCTAAGAAAACTTTTTTGACTTGGAATAATCTGCAAATGGTTCATAAGCCATAGAAAACGAATAAAAAAATAACCTTTTTAACAACAAAATTGGAGAAATAGTAAATAATGTGAATAAATAAACATATATTGTAGACAAAAAGTGTAGATTCTAACAGTTTTTATTCCGAACTGAACAGCCTGATATATAATCTGTACGCATTGACAAACCTTCCCGTTTCATAAAACGATAACACCATCCTTCTATTCCTATAAAATTTGTATCCCCTTTTCGTTCACTAATCTTCTAACCTCGTACCTTATCATTTTCGTAGTAACGATTCTGCCTGTACTCCTCTCATCTACAACCCACGTCTTAATTTCAGGCCAGTCTGGGGCTGAGTGGCGAAGGTTACAGTTTCCTTTCTTTGCTGTCCGTAGGTTATTTTCCTGCAACTGCCAGTAACGTATCATCTTTTCTGTAGGCAGAGGACCAAAATATTTTGCAGCTGCTCTATTTCCATGCTCTTTAGCATAGTTTATTACATGAAGCTTGTACGCAACAGTGTAGCTTAACATTTTTTTGCTGTTTTCATATCTGAAGGACTGAAATTCAGTCAAAATTTTTCTTTTATTTGATCCACACAACCTGCGTCATGTAAACATCTCATACTGAAACAGTAAAACTCATACCAATGCTTCAGCTTTAGAGGTGTCGCATATACATGATTCTGTTTGGCAAAAGTCCAGGAAAAGCAGGTCGCATATCACAGTATAATAAGTGTTCCCAGTGTTTAATTAGAAATATTTGAGAGGTTTCGGATTGTGGTTCTTCGGAGCAATGCATCGTTAGGAGGACATCGTAAGAAATGTCAGCCATTGAAACTTTTGGAGAAATAATAAAACATAAACGATGTCTGGCTCGATCTACAAAAGTTACTGTGTTTAAAAAATCTGTATCAAATGATGCTATTCACCGCCTCTTTTTCTTACAGCGAGGTCTATCCTTATAATGGGTGAACCTCGGTGTAGAAGGTTACGTTTGGAGGCCATTTGTGCGTATAGGAGAGGAGTATAACGTTTAACTCAACAGGTTAAGAGTGCAGTGATCGGGGAAACATATTGTTGGGAGTCGGTTCCACATGGGTAGTGGTTCGTGAGAAGAAGCTATTCGAGTGGAACTTATTTCTCACCGATGGAATACGGAGAGAACGTGAGTGGTTTGCTACTATATAAATGGTATGGCGTGTTCATGATGTGAAGGTTTGCCTCGGAGGGAACAGGGAATATATTTCGTCCGAGCACTTTCTGTGGAAGTAGCGCTAGAGCAGAGAGAAGCTTGCCGCATCCTGCCTGTGAGTGAGAGGTTGAAAGGCAGCGAATAGTTCGTCATCCACACGGGCTTGGATGACGCTTTTGAACTCTATCAGGCCTGGAGAGTATGGTCTGGCAGCTTCCTCCCAAATATGCTAACAGTACTCCTGATCTGGCCCTTTGTAATGGTAGAGGATAGCAGGAGGGCTCAAGTACTTATTGGAGCGGTAGAGGGAACATTAGCAATGGATCGTTTTTGTTTTGAATGGCTAAATATTGCGGATTTTACCACGATTATTAGCCATCTTCCACCACAATGCAATTCTCCTTATTAAATAAATCTTCCAAAAATAAAATATACTTTTCTGAATCTTTATTTGCGGAATACTAGTTTATTTAAAGTTTATTTAATGTGATTTTCAACTAATATTACTTACTTTCAGTTTAAAATATCACAGAAAAGATTTTTTTTTAACATGGCGGTAGCTGTTTAATTTTGGTGTTGACAACTTGACTGACAGAAATTTATTTAATTTTTTTCTACGGTGAACTTAACATGAGTGCCTTTTTATATAATTTTTAGCTACACAGTAAATTTAAAAATTTCGGAAAATATTCTCCGTAATTTAATGTTTTATTGAATTTAAGGTACTTTGGCTTTAAATTTACTATAGTTATCGTCCTTATTTTTTGATAATTTCGTGTTTGGACGTCTGTATTTACAAAAATCAGCACGTTTATATATACAAAAAAGTTTCAAATGTCTAAAAAAATATTGGTGGTCGATGAATTGTACTAAGTTTTTACTTAATAACAATATCACCTAACCGGGACAAAGTAATAGAGAAATTTAAAAGATTTAAAATTTTATAAATTATAATTAAAATTTAAAAGAAAAATGAAAACACTTCTTGTAAAAATTCAATATGCATCGAATTTTTTTCTTAACACAATAGTGTCTGTAATATATCTTATTCATAAAAGCAATAAAATGCTTTTCTAATTACATAATATAATACTTTTATTACATTTATTTTTATTTTACGATTCAGAGCAGATTTATGTTCACTGGTGGTCCGGCTTTACAAAAAAAAAAATTGATGATTTAAATTTTTCATGCTTTTAAGTAATATAAATATTAAGTAGCATAAAATTTAATTTCACGAGGTTTCATAAAATTAAATAAGTCGGGGTTAACAGATGTAAAAAATCTTACCAAGATTTTCTAAAAAGAAAATATTTCTAAAATAATTTAATTCTTTTGTGAATAAGTCATGAAAGTTTCATTAAAATCTGACAATTATTTGATTTTTGCAAGAATTTTTAAAATCAATGTTTTTTTCACAGCAGAAAAGACGAACAATTTTCATTGGACCCCCGCTGACGTAATAAAAACGAGATTTTTAGCCAAAATCTTTAACTTTCTAAAAAGGATCAAAAAATATAAATTAATAATCAAAAAATCCTTTGGTCTTTTCTCTTGATAATAACATAAATATCTTGTTTTAGCGAATCAGTGGATATATATATATATATATATATATATATATATATATATATATATATATATATATATATATATATATATGTGTGTGTGCATGAGTTATTAATTGAATATGTTATGGGTAACTAATCCTGCTGTTATCGCTTTCAACGTAAGCAACCACAACGCTAAGAGATTAATGTGAAAAAAAGTCAGTTGGAAATTAAGTAAGTAAAATAAATATGTATATAAGATAGAATGAAATATAAAAATAAATCCTGCAATGTAACTATTCACTCCAACAGCATGTATAAAAATAAACTTTCTTAATAAATATAGGTATAAAGTAAATATCCAAAAATATCAAAAACGATAATCATAGAGTTTTATATATTCGCACTAACCGGGTAATTTTGATGCCTATTTATACCAATGTGTCCGCCTCTGTTTCTTCTTCCCTCTATATATCTATCTGTATATATCAACGCGCATGCGCGCAACCCCATCCCCCCACATATTTGTATATTTAGGCAGCATATTTTCAATCAAACATGTTTCGTTGAATAATATAGACATATTATATCTATCTATCTATCTATCTATCTATCTATCTATCTATCTCATTCTGTAAACATCTATATCTGTTCATATGTATCTTGGTTTCATTCATCTATTTATATCCCCACCTGTTCTGATCTATCTATCTATCTATCTATCTATCTATCTATCTATCTATCTATCTATCTATCTATCTATCTCATTCTGTAAATATCTATTTATATCTGTTCATATCTATCTTGGTTTCATTCATCTATTTATATCTCCACCTGTTCTGATCTATCTATCTATCTATCTATCTATCTATCTATCTCATTCTGTAAATATCTATCTATATCTGTTCATATCTATCTTGGTTTCATTCATCTATTTATATCTCCACCTGTTCTGATCTATCTATCTATCTATCTATCTATCTATCTATCTATCTATCTATCTATCTATCTATCTATCCCCAAATTGCATTTACTACATATCTATCTACCTATATTGGTCTATTAAAATCTATCTCTACCTTGCTCTATTTCATCTATTTATATCTTGGTCTGTTCATATCTATCTATTTATCTATCTCATTCTCTACATATCTATCTATCTATCTATACTTATATATATGAAATGGATTAATCCGATAATTATTTAATATATTTTCTATTTATACGTGATTTCTATAGATACAATTTATTTAAGTAAATGTTCTGTTTTTAATTAAACAGTATTAATTACATTTATCGGCTTGAATGTTCGAGAAATTTCGTAGAAAATATGCGTTCTCCAAAAGTAATCGAATCTGTATTCCTATACGGAAACCGTCATTTGATCTGACGTGCTATACCATTTAGCTACAGAGAAGCGTCTGATTAGCAAAGTCTAAATTACTGTTCTTAAACGCACAATCTTCGACGATTTTTCTCGATCGATAAGATCTGCTCAAATGATATGATATTATATCATATATATTAAATAATTATGAGATTTAATCCATTTCATTATATGTTGTTATTTTTACGTTATGATAGGTTTCATGAGCAGATATGATCCATCAAGAAAAATCGTCGAATATTGTGCGTTTATAAACAATAATTTGGACCTTGGTAGCCAGACGCTTCTCTGTAGCTAAATGGTATAGCACGTCTGATCAAATGATGGTTTCCGTACAGAAACACAGGTTCGATTCCTTTTGGAGAACGCATATTTTCTATGAAATCTCTCGAACATTCAAGCGGGTAAATGTAATTAATATTGTTGTATTTAAAAAAACAAAAACAAAACAGAGCCTTTACTTAAATAGTATCTATAAAAAAATATATAAACAGAATATATGTATATAAGTCATCGAGTCTGAAAGAAAACTCAACAGAAAGCACTGAGCAGCCGTTTCGTCCTATATTTGGGACTTATCAGCAGTGCACATCCACTACCGAGAATTGAAACCCTGACAGTTAGGTTGTCAAGCAA